TGTGATACTGTAGCCATCAAGGAATACTGTGTCTAAGCAGAGAGAGGTCAGCATAAGTCCAAGGAACTCTAGTTTAGGGTGGCCTTTGAGGAAGAAGTGTAGATCCTCCAGCTTAGTTTGGTCCTGCCCTGAGATGTCCAATGATCTGAGGTTCGGGCCAAACACAGGATCCCTGAGCAAGTCGGGTACAATGGGCTTCATGGGCATGAGCCGGTCAATTGGGTCCTGACTACCCTTGTTTTCACTGATGTCTAGGTGGATGAGATCCCTTAGCTCCAGCAGCACTTGCTTTGTTTCCTCCATACGCAGCACTTTTAGGTTGTACATATTCAATGATTTCAAGGTGTTTTTTCTGATACGGAGACACTCTACTGATTCAAGTTTACTACAGTTGGATATATCAAGGGAACTGAGCATATGTAGGTCATTGCAAATATTCAGTAGTGCATGGAATGATAGTTCTGTTCCACTAACATTCAACACATGTAAATTCTTCAACTTGCTTAGGCCTACATATAATTTTGTTGAAAGTGTATTTCCTTTACAAACTGCATTTGAAGTATGAGAAGTAAAAGTAGATCCACTAACACTTAATGCATGTATATTATTGAGGGTCCATTCACCAAAGCAACTAATAAGTTCATCCACTGAAACTTTCGAAAGGTTTTTCACTTCCACAGATTGTATTTGATGACTTTTTAGTATTCTGAGACCCTTACAAGTTACATTATTAGCATTGTGTAGAGTCACTTGACTTAGGCGCAGCACCACTGGGTCAAACAATGTCATATTCAAATCATCTAGAAGGCCTTTTCTGTCCATTGTCATAAGCAGCAAGTTTGCAACTTTTTGGTGACAAAATGCATTGCAATCCCTGCAACGATAAAGAATAGAAAATATTTACTATATCAATGAAGGAATAGGAAGAGTTAAAAATGAAGCAACACTAAAAACAAAAACAGTGACTACAAAACCCATGATTATTACTAACACTGTTACTGTTGCAGTTGTAGAATCCTGAGAAATTGCAATAAAACAAAAGAAAAGAAACTGTAGCAGAATGCATCAAAGTCTGATCTGAGGGTAAAGACATACAAGACACTAAAGAAAAAAAGCATAACAACTATAATAAAAGCAGCAGCAGCAGCAGTAATATTAATCACAACAAAACTAGTATTCATGGCATAATAGATTATCAAGATGATATACATACCATATTAAAAAAAATAATGATAAAAATTATAATAACAACAATCATAGCAATCTTAATCTTAATACTAATAACAATCATAATAATAATAGTAATAGTAATAATAATAATAATAATAATAATAATAATAATAATAATAATAATAATAATAATAATAATAATAATAATGACAATAACAATAATAATCATAATGACAATAATGATAACAATAATAGCACAGCTGGAGGAATTCTGCATTTATACCATTATTTTCTCACCAAAATAGAAGCCTTCTGCTAATCAAGTATTGACTATCCTCATTTTCATTCATACTGAAGAATTAGCTGAGATGACCTTAATTTTGCACTCTACTGTTATTTTTGTATATATCTTATGACAATGAAATATACCTTTTCTGATATGTAAAATTGTGAAAATTGCCTCTTTTGCAGTTAAGGAAAGAGAAGCTGGAGGGTTTACAGTTCTTAAGAGTAAATATCATAAAGAGGGCAGAAAGTGGTGGGCTTACAGGGCACATAGAAAATAAAAAGACAAAATCAGCAGTGATCATTATTATTATTAGAGTCAAATAAATCTAGTCCTGAAACTGAAACAAAAGAGACAACTTCATTATCTGGCAAATAGCAAAACATTGGGAAATATAGAGGTCAACATTAAACTGTAGAAACAGAAAACACGGAGTTGGAACTACTTTTAGAGATAAAGAGAGTCATATATTTTGCAGTGCCTTACAAAATTTAAAACTGAAGTAGGATATATGAATACATATTTACACATTATGTAACGTATGAATATTTGGTTAATATAAAAAATACTATGAAAAGATTTAACCTCTGAACTGCAGGCTGTCTACCTACAAAAAAGGCAGATTTTTCACATTGCTAGCATTTCCAGTGTTCAGTTCTACACACCAGAAAATATATATATTTCATTATCATATATTAAATACATAGAGCATCAACAGAGTACAAAGTTGAAAAAAAATACTACAGCTACCCCTAGAAAATGGGAATAAACTGCTATAAGAAAATAAAATACAAATAAAGCAATAAAATCCTATTTCTATCATATTAAACAAGAAGAATATCATTCTATCATACTTACAAGAATTTTATGTATAAAAAAATATACATGATATATAAAGGGGGTAACAGTAATATATAACAGAATAGTGTGAAAAATGATAATATGGGAGAGGTAAACTACTAATTCACGTTAAATATGTCTCATTCACAATGAGAAAGAAGTACTAAACATAATTGTACAACTGGATCAGAGACTGTGTTGAAT